CTTCAATGTGGTGGTGTACAGAGACCAAATGCCAAAACAGTTATCCTTGTTCCAATATTTCTGTCCTGACTGTATGCTGTTTCAACCTTTCTCTTCTAGCTGTTTTCCCCTTTAAAATACAGTACATTAAATTGAGGCTTTATCCCATTCCTGTTTTCTTTCACAGAGGAAAATATATACCAATTGATATATTTTTTTTGGCTGTTGGAAAAAAAATCCTGCTTGAGATAGGATTTTGATTGGGAAAAATGACTGAAGAGAAGAAGTTAAACATCACATATCTCCTCTTGGTCCTTTTGTTCAAAAATGGAGCAGTGCGCTCGATTGTGTTTTATAATATCTGCTCCATACTCACTGGATATGGATATTAAAACAGAAATATGCAACCCATTCTTCTGTTTTTGAACAAGAGAAAATTTGCAGGGTTTCTCTGCGAATACCTAAAAACTACTTCTGAAGTTGTGCATAGTAAACCAGTGTTAATGACAATTGGGAAGTGTGAACTTGTCATTGTGCTGCTTGGAATAGATAGGTTAGATAGTAACCACTCAGTGGATGGTATGTCTGTGTGTATAATATATACTGATGTTTAACATTTAAACTGAAAAAAAGAGAAAATAGTTACTTCCAAATGAGGTATTAGAAATTATAATTAGAAGGAAAGGTGAACTGTTTGTATTGATTTATGTTCTCTGTTCCAGGGAAACTGGGAAAAACGTATTTTGAAGAGTCTAAACAGTATGTGTACAGAACTTGGCATTCCATTATCACAGAAGGTACTGTTATTTGCCTTTCCTGTGAATGTAAAGTTTAGGTCCCCTATTTTATGTGGGGAGCTAATTTTTTTTAACTCTGTTCCTCATACAGTAAAACTTCAATTTAATGGATCATTTGGGATCTGTTAAATCAGAATATGTGTTAAATCCAAATTTATATCAAATGATTTGTTTCTGTCCATTTATGTCATTTAAATAAGTCACATAAAAATGCAAAAATAGTCTGGACTGCTTGGGAAAACCCAAACGTTGATTATTGCAAGTGAAGTCTAAAGTGAAATTTTGTTTGCTTACATCTGATGTTTGCAGAATGGAGGTTTGGACAATTAAGGTTTTACCATAGTACAATAAAATAAATATTATGTAAAGTATAAAGGAAGTAGTACAATATCTCTAAATATTAAATTTTATATTTATTTATATATATTTCAAATTTGTCACTGCCCACTGCATTACAGAGTGACCCTGGGTGGTTTGTGTGCAAATCTGACTGCATACTGTTTTTTATGTTCCACAGAGATCACCAAATGAGCAAAAAGAACTTTTGAATAAATGGAATGAAATGGGAACAGATGAACCAGGTATATCACTCCTGTATTATGAAAATCATACTCACTGTTAGTATAGTTGCAATATATGTGTATGTGTGAACTTATAAATTGCTTTAAAAAGAGAATATTTAAGAGAAGGAAAGGAATCACTGAAACATACTACATCCCTGTGCTGAAGGTTGAGAATATCAAAAGCTGTTCAGAGATCCAAGTTGTACTTTTCTGGCCTCTATCCTATTATACACTGTAGGAGAAATTTATCCCACCCATTTCCACAAGGGTACAACTGTCGACTGAAATACAAATTGCTTGTTATGGTACCGGAGGCAACAAAAGCAAACCTGAAAAGGATGAGGGTACAGCCCCTCTATGTAAAGTTAGGCAAATTAGATATATATAGATATAGACATTCTGTATTTAGCAAGGTTTTGAGGTAATGGGTGGAAGTACAAAAACAATGGTTTATTGAGAGAACAGAGACAATATTCTACATAAAGAGTTGCTTTTATGGGTTTATCTTGTAAAGGTCTTGCTTCCCAGAGTCTATGCTCACCTCCTAGTATCTTTTCCCAGATTTGTCAATATTCCTTGCCTTCTAAAATGTTTTATGGCTGAGCTGACAGAACTTACTGTTTCTCAAGTTCCTGGGGATGTATTTAGGGAGGGAGATGTTGCTGATCCTAATTGATGCCATATTCTCATACAAGATTTTATTTTATTTATTTATTTAAAAGATTTGTATGGACGCCCATCTTAAAACAACTCTGGGTGGCTCACAACAACAATAAAACTATAAAAACCATAAGAACTATATAACAAAAACTAAAAACCCAGTGCCTCAGTCAACCTCCCAGGGTGTCCCAACCACTCTCAGCAAGCTCTACCGCTCTTCCCCAGTGCCTGGGTAAAGAGCCAGGGTTTAAGGGCTTTCTACAAGATGTAACGATCTGTTTTCTTCCATTGTCTTGGCAACATCTTACGCTGTTTTACACGAGTGGGAAGTCCATGGCTTTCCTGGTGTTGTAACCTCAGAGAGGTTAATATTTCCAGAATAAGCTTACAACTAGGCTTGCTTCTGTGGATAATGCTTGCTATTGTTGTTACTGGAAATTCCATACATGAGATAAGCTGTGAACTATTTCATACTAATGATGGACAACCACAACTATCCGTTTTCTTCTAGCTCTAGTTTTCTTTGTAGTTAGAAGTAAAAGTACTCAAGTTGCTAAAAACTGATGTAGGAATTCCTGCCTGATCATTCAGGCAGAGAGAATACAGACAAGTTAACTAAAAAACTATTTATAGTAGACAGAAGAGGAAAGTAAAGTCAAGAAGCTGCAGATCCCATTTCTATGTTGTTCCATTTTCCACATGTCAGTAACTGACTTTTTTGTACTGAGATTCTGTGCAAGTATTCTGAAATATTGTGTCTGTTGCTCAACTCTCAAAGGGTGCACAGATGTTCTGATTATTTAAACGTATCATTATTCTTTAATTTTAAAAGAGTTAAAATTGACTAGCTCCAATTATTTATTTATATGTTTGTGTATTCTTTGCTTTTCTATTAAAAAAAGCTTTCTAAGAATTGTTCTCAATTATTATATTAATGCTTTTAATTATTCTGCATCGATATACTCCTCTGGAAATATACTTGCATATTGTTCTGAACAAATAGTGGAATGAGGCTGAAATAACAAAACTTAGTAATTATTATCAATGGAATGCATAGTCTAAATAGCTACAAAATATTTAGGATTAAATAACTTTATATTTCAGATCTAAGTCACTTCAGGCCTGTTTATGCACCTAAAGATTTTCTTGAGGTAAGTTTTTGAGAAAAAGTGGATCAGGTTTTAGTTTTGGATATGCATTTCTTTATCCAATAAAATCTTACAGTTCCCAAGAATGGATCTTTTGAGTCATTAGATTCACAAATGAGCTTTAATATGATATTCAGTATAGATTTTACCATTTCAAATGGTTACTTAATTGGGAGGGCATTACTTGGTTAGGGAACTAGTTACAAATATAAGACAAGTAGAATTAGGGATCACCTAAAAGCCAAAGGTATTTATGATATATTCATCTGGGAGAAGGATAAAACGACATTTTGTGCACTGTAAGGATGTATACTATACAGCAAACACAATATCTGATTTTGTTCACACTGGGATTATTTCATACAGGTTCATTACTGATACCCATTAAAACCTTTTCAGACTAAATTTCATGCTAATTTCATGTTTCACATGGAGGAACCTATGTATTGCTGAAGACTCTGGGGCCCTTTTTCTAACACACATGCAGTTCACGCAAGCCTTTTGCCCCTGCTCATTAGGTCTGCGTAAAGCATTCGAAGAGGCGCTTCATGGAGCATATTAGCCCAAGAGAAGCACCCCCCCCCCCGAAGTGCTTTCCAGAAGGCTCAGTTCAACTGCTTGAGACCTTTCCCAGATCTTCTCCATATGTATCTGTGTGAATAACTGCTTTGCTCCTCCACCAATCCCAGCAGATCTATTTTCTGGATGTGCACACATGTGCAGGCAACCTTGGGAAGCCCTCAGACCATGGAGGATGTGGCTGCTTCAGTGCTTCAAGGAGGGGTGCTTTGCCTTTTGAAGCCTATCTACCATCACACTTCAACCTGAAATACCGTGTATTTCCCTGATAATTGCTGCTGCTTTGATAAAGATCTTCTCGGTGACAAATGCCTGAAAAGCTTCCAAGTGTGTCTCATTACTCTTTGACCAATATTCTTGGGTTGCAGCTAGATGGTCGTTTAAAATGCCTTATAAATTTTATATCCATAAAGTGCTCTGCAGTATAAAACAGAGATTACTTTTCTCTCTCTTTTGTGTCTGTTGATTTTGAAACAATAAATAATGTTGTCTATGAGCATTATAGTTATGCTTACTTGAATTCAGAAGTGGTAGAAGTTTAATGGACAGCAAAGAGATGAAAAAAGCCAACTGTGATAAAAGCAAGCTGCTATACAAACAAGAAGAATAGAAAAGAAATTAAATTGCCCCCCAAAAGGATTTTAATAGAGGAAACCCTAGTTTAAAGCTTGCAAAATTTAAAAAGCCTTTGAGTGTGAAAAATAGGAACTTGTTTTCCTACAGACATGTTAGTGTGACAGAATATATCTAAAATAGCTTGTCTAATAAGAATATAAGATCAAAAATAAGTATTTGAATTGCCCATTTAAAAGATATATGTCATATTTGAAACAGTTTTTTCTAGTTTAGAATTGCAAGTGCCAGTACTTTGGTTGAGTCTCACATTTTAATCTGTGTATATAAATGGCAATTATGTAACACTCATGCAGATATCTAGTAGTCAGTCTACTTCATGAGATCAAACTTTTGAACTTTAAATGTTCTTGTGCGTCTTAATTTTACTGATGACTTGAATTATAGTGCACCTGTAACAGTTATCTACAATTAGGACTAATGAAATCGGTCTCATTTCAACTTCATAAAAGCAGTTGCTGTAGTAAACAGTGTTTGTTATGCTTCCTGTGTTTTCTGTTGTTATTTTTCACACCTTACATGTCATTGCTTGGATGTTCATCTTTTAATGCAGTATTTGGCCTACACCTACAAACTTTCACAGTGCTGTATAAACTTAGAGGAATTCAGCAAAGGAAAAGGTGAAAAATATACAGTAGATTATACTGACACTCTGGCTCTGTGCTTGGAGTCCTCAAGATTATATGAACATTGTATTTTTCTCACCATCATGGAATGCTGTCAAAGTGATTGACATTGGCTCCGTAATGATATGTCAACCATGAGTCCTGGATAGTGTATTGTGGAATAACATAGCCCCAGTTAGAGTTTTCTTAAGGGATTGTCTGTTAGCATAGATACTTGGTTTTTCTGCATGAATAAAATGAGATTTAAAAAGAAAAGTGAGGAAGGAGATACGAGTACACTTGAATCTTTCTTAGCAATTTCCAATCTTTAAAAATACAGGTATTGTTTTGTTGGATCAGAGCATAATCATAGTCTATTGTGATCACTCTCTATATCTTGTAGTAGATATACCACGGATTGTTCATGTTTGACCCTCTGATTGAAGAAATACTGAATGTCCAGCTGTGGGTTCTTGATAAAGAATGAATTGTCATGTTTGTGCTTTCCTTCTTCTCTTTTCTGTGGATTCTCACCTCCATTGTTTTTGTTAATCATAATTTTTAATCAGTGTGAAATCTCAGAGGTTAGTGCTTTGTCCTCAAATCTCAATTTGGAACCAAGATACTACAAGTGATCCTCACTTAGTGACCACTCATTCAGTAACTGTTCAAACTTATGATGGCCCTGAATGAGCAGCACTTACGACTGGTCCTCAAAGTTCTGGCTGTTGCAATGTCCCCACAGTCATGTGATTGCGAACTAAGAGCTCAGTTTCTCAGTTTCTATGACATCACAGCGTCCCTCAGTCATGTGGTTGCCATTTGCGACCTTCTTTGCTGGCTTCCTACAAGTAAGATCAAGGGGGATGCTGGTAGGGGGTCACAAATGGTGATCACATGATATCCTCGCTTAACAACCTGCGGTGATTCACTTAACAATGGCAACTGGAGGTGCTGGAATTTCCATTGCTAAGTGGCATGGTCATGTGATGTTGCACTTTACAACCGCATATTTTAGCGACAGAAATTCTGGTCCCAATTGCAATCATTAGCTGAGGACTACCTGTATTGTATTTTGCCAGTTCATGGCAAAATTTTGTTCAGTCGTTAAGTCATGTCTGACTCTTTGTGACCCCATGAACCATATTGTGCCAGGC